GTACGGGCGCGACACTGAGGGTTGCGATCCATTGCTGGACACGAAAAAAGACAAAAAAAAATAAATAAATAAAAAAAAAAAATAAAATAAATAAAAAATAAAAGTGCCTGGTGGAGCTAAGGTGGGAGAGCAAACTGGGAAGGTGGATTGGGCTACTGTGAAGTATCTTGCAGACTGTGTTGGTTATGAGAAACCAAATAAGATTTTAAAATAGGAGTTTGTTGTGACTAGACCCGAGTTTCAGTGATAGTTTTTTGCAGGTGTGTGAAGAATATTTTGGCATCTAGAAGACCATATGGAGGTTATTAGCAATAGTCAGGAAAGTGACAGTTTTTACATTCCCCCCCTTGTTTTAAAAGTTATATAAACTTATTGTAGAACAATTTAAAAGTATACAGAAAAAATGAAGAGTAAAATAAGCATACCCTAGTAGTAATACCCGTTAAACTTTTTGATGTGTTTCATTCTAATCTTTTTTCTTACAGAGTAGAGATTATACTGTTAAAGTAAATGAATATCCTAATTTTAACATGTATTTCCCTATATTAATTTTTTAAATGAATCATAAACATACCTTTGATGACTGCATAATATAGATAGACTCCACTATATAGATTTTTTTCATAATTTACTTAAGCCTTCTCCCAATGCCAAGTAAGCTTGAGGTGATTCAGAGTAAATACCTAACAACATTTGGGTTAATCAGAGTCCTTCCCTGGGATTTTTCAAACTAGAGTTGGTGAATCAGAGTAGGAGAATCAGGTTTAGAGGACATAGTGAGGTTGGGATATCATCCAGTGGACAGTTGGACTGTATGGGATCCACTGGACTTGGCAGTTAGAAAGCCAATGGTAACTTCATGTAAAGACATTTCAGTAGGACATGGGGCATGACATCAGTGTTGAGGATACTCACCTCTTCCCTGTGGGAAAAAATCTTATAATCTCTGCTTAATCCAAAAGCTAATAAGAACTCTCCTCAAGCTTTTCTAATTTCTATAAACTTTTCTCTCATAAAGACAACTTTTACTGAAGTTGGATCGTATTTTCCAGAAATTCAAGAAGTTAATAACTTCTAAGTCATTTCCTCTGGCATTACCCAAATTAAGTTCCTAGGGACTCTTCCTGGGAATTCATTAGAGCCACTTAGTGAGAGGGGGAATTAGCCTTCTCTTGATATGCTACTGTTAAAGAAAAGTCATCTGCTTTTAATAAAACCACACTATACCCTAGCCTTCAGAAAGAGATGCCCCCCCATGCCCTACCTTTAGCAAAGCACTGAAAGGAAGGAAACTCTGTAGTCAAGTGAACATTTGTACCTTTTTCTGAAGTAATAATCTAATAGATATTTCCCGAGTAAAGTTTTTGTTCCTTGCCTATTACTGGACTGCAAATTATAAAGCATACAATGAAGATTTTGGGATTGATGTTGATTATAAATGTGTGTCCAGAATCATTGTGACTAGGTTCATTTTAGGTAAAATCAAATTCAGCAAGTAAAATCACAGTATAGAGCAAGTGTGTGTCTCATCTCCTCAGCCCAGGCCCACCAACTCTTCATTGCAGGACTGAACTTCCCACTTAAATGCCCACTTAAGTGTCCCACTGAAATATGGACAAATCTTACTTCACCCTAAATGTCTATGTGTGGACTTACCCCAATGTGAAGTTTAAAGGAAAAAAAGTTCCTCTTACAGCAGTAAAATCCCTTTCTTCTTTTAGAGAAAAAGAATGGGGGAACATGTGAGAGGAGATGCGATTTCTGCCCAAACCAGGTATCTGAAAAGCTTCTCTACCCATTTCCTCCTCCTCAGTTCCCTTCCTCAATCACCATATTACTGGAGCCTCTTCTCCACAGAAATCATGCCAGAGCCCATCAGCACCGAGGGAGGCCAAATTCCATGGCAGCTGGGGGTGGATATATGAGGGAATGTGTTCTTGGCGTCCCAGGAACACTTAAAAGCTTTTTCTAGAGAAATATGGTTACCCATGGTGGTTAGTTCTTCAGGATTATACTTACAATTATGGGTTAAAAGTGTTGTTCTAGGAACCTGACCACCATGTATTATTTTATGGAAAAAAATTCCAAACAACCAACTATTAAACACGTAATTTTTGTAGATTTAGAGTTAAATTCATTTCAAAGCTATAGCAGTATTTGACTTTAAGGGCACAAACATGCATGCACATGTACTCACACACAAACACATACACACACATACACAATCCAGAACATTTAAAATAAATTTTTAGAACAATTTTTAGAGTTAAAAATTCTACTTTTAAAATAGAATTTTTAGAAATAAATTTTAGATGAAATCATGGGAGAACCAAAATTTCTATCTATTTACATATTATATATCTGTCCAATGTACATACATATGTATTAAAATTAGGATTTGCCAAACAGTTTCCTTTCATATGGATAAAATAAAGCAACACTGAAGACAAAGCATGAATGCGGAGAAGGAGGTAATAACTACCATTTTCACTAGTAGTACACCTCAGATTTGACAATGAAAACATTAGGTATTTCTTGAAGATTATTCAAAAAGATAATGCTCAAAGTGGGTTTTGTAAATCATTTATTATGATTGAAAGGGAAGAAAATGATAGGAGACAAATATTACAATTAAACATGTAACATTATTCTCTTGTAACCAATCATAATAACATACTTTGAATTTTTTAAATGGCTATATAAGTAATTTCCCAGAAAATAAAATTTTCACATCATCAGTTACAGAAAATTGATTTCTTTCCATCAAAATATTTTATCTCTGCTCTATCAAAAATAAATGCCAAGTGTAAGGTACTATAGTTTAAGCTAAGCCTTCACTACTTATTAAAAGATTTTTGGGGCGGGGGTTCTTCCCAGACAGTGAACAAACTATTGCCTGAGAATAAAGTCCTCACACATTACTGCCAAGCCTCTGGCTCACCAACTAATTATTAAATAGCTTTCTGGGAACTTGGAAACTGCTGTATCTCATCCAAAAGTTTCCTGAGAGTCATCCCAAACTGGCAGCCAGTTTATTCTCAAAACCTAATTTGCTTACTCGGTGAGTGGTTGTGGCTCAAAAGATGTAGGGAAAATAGTCAAGTAGAAGAGGAAATCTTCAAAAAGTTCATGGAAAGATGCATATCATCTTTCAATTGTATTTTTCCATGAACATTCTGAAGTACCCTTGTATTTCTGTGCAGTTTTAAAAATCTTTTTGTCATTACCAATAAAGCATGATATTATTTGACCAGTGTTTTTCTTGGCTCTGCACCTTCTAAGGATGCTAATACGGATGGAACATTTTTTTAAAATCTTTTTGTCATTACCAATAAAGCATGATATTATATGACCAGTGTTTTTCTTGGCTCTGCACCTTCTAAGGATGCTAATACGGATGGAACATTTTTTAAAGGCTTAGTGTGAGAGCAGTACATTGCCACAGGGAGAAAGCAGCAAAGAAGAAAATATGAAGGCTCTGCCAACAAATTAATTCAGCAGCTAACATTTTTCTCAAACTGGTTAAAAAAAATACTACACACAAAGTGATAAATATATGTCCAAAAAATAAATACAAATATTCTACACATAAATAAAATTAAGTATACTCAGGATTACTATTACAATTAAACATTTTTATAATATAATTTTCATGTCTTATCACAGTTTCATTTTTATCATGAACACTAATTACATTGTTCTAATACACGCTGGAATGTACTGACCACTTACGTAAACTAGTAAAGGAATGCATTTCAAGACTCTTTAAACTAAAATTTTATCTCCTTTGACACAACAATAATTTTCTTTAAAAAATATTTTTAGAAATATTTTCAAACTATAATTAGGACTGCATGAAGGGTAAAGCTTTAAGGATAGTATTTGTTTTCAAAGATATTATTATTTAACAAAGCAAGGTCAACACGACCCAGCACCAAATGCAATGAAGTGTGGGTAATATTCCAGTAAACTTGGGCTATGTTGACAGCCAAGGAATGTTAGGAATCACTACCTCTTTTTAAATTTTACACTCCAGTGATCTGAAAAGGTGACAGGGTATACTTTCTAATACCACATAGGTCCTGGTTACCTAGCTCCTGTTTTCTCACATAATGATTCACAGAGCCAGAAGATTTATTGTACTTGCTCTAAAAATTTACCTCTGCCCACCACCCTGCAGCTATTTCTTACACTGTGTACTCTATTCCTTTCCAAATACCATATCATTAATTAAAAGCACATTTAATTACAGTACTCAATTTTTTGGCAGTGAGCATTTGCAAATAATCAACCAGTTTACCAAATGAGAGTTTGGAATTTCCCTCTCTAACGATTGCCAGAATACTAAAAAGAAAAAAGAAAAGAAAAGAAAAGCCAAATTGCACAATGCGTCTGATGACAAGAGAGAAGGGAGACGGAAAAAATGATTACTTCTAACTCAATTACTCCAAGAGAAAATTAGTGTGTTGGCAAATTTGTGTTTCTACTTTATCATTAGGATTCATTTTGAGAGTAGCCCCCATTATTGTTAGTTTGGAATACTTGTGTCGGTGCCATGCTGCCAGAGTGTAAATGACTTGTTTGGAGGTAATGCAGCCATTACACAGAGGACAATGAGTGAATATTCAGGCTCCTGAGCTTTCAGAGTAAGGTGGGACCTTTGGTCGGTCTGCTGCTTGACAGAAGGGGCTGGCTTCCCATTCCCCTGGCTTGGGGTCCCTGGGTCTGGGCTGAGAGCAGCGCTGGAGCAGAGAGGTGGTGAAATGCTGCCTTTTGCTGATGGAAGTTGTTTATGTAACTGGCGATCAAAAGAGTGATTTCAAGAATCTAAAATGAGAAAAACACAATTGTTATACTCCTGAGAGTTCTCATCACTTCCAAAAAAGTAAAGGGTTGGCCATGGGTGATCTCGATTTGCAAGTGCCCAGGCTATCAGAATTCCCTTCTCTCTAGATCAAACAATGAAGTACTTACGTGTCCAGCAACGTCAAGGCCCTGACACATCTTTCCATTTCTCAAACCAGCAGAGTGACTCTCAAAAAACAGTCAAAGTTAGTGGTGATATATAGAAATGTAACAGTCAGTAGTACAACTCTATCAATTATCTTAAGCCACATTTGTGAATTTATGAATTAAGAAATTCAGTGTGCCATATCAACCCTTTATATAAGCTAAAGTACTGAGTATACCATGATCTTCTGTACTTAATGGAGAACTGCATCCACTTAAATATAGACTTAATTAAGAAAGATATCTGCCACTTTTCAAAAAAGCTTCAGATTCTGAAGTAGACTCTTTTAGTTGACAATTTTAGGACAGTTGAAATTTTAGGAAAATCAATTTCTCATTTGTTACTAAAATTAGAATTACATTTTAGAATGTAATTCTTTTGTTTATTGCTTTTACTGAGAGACATTAAAACTATATAGTTTGTTAAAAATAATAAAGGAACAAGTATGTTTTAACTATAAATCTGCTCTTTTCTCTAATGAGTCCATGAGATGAATAACCCCAAATAGATAAGATAATGTGAATGTGTATAAAGTATTTAACAACAACAACTTACAAATGACCATTTATTTTGAACCTTCTGTACACCAGGCACTGGGCTAAGTATTTTACAAAAAAAAAATTCCTTCATTTAATTTCTTAAGTTGAAAGAAGTAGGTAATATTATTATACCATTTTTTAAGTGAAAGAAACCAAGGCTTAGAAAGATGAGGTAAGCCAGAATTTGGAGCCAAGGTTGATTATAAGTAATACCTATTTTCCTATCTGGAACATAGTCTTTGCTCAATAAATGTTTTATATTAAAAAAAACTAGCTTTAAAAAATTGACAGAAAGGCTTCCACTCACCTTGGGTTTTGCCATGGCAAAAAGTAATTTCTCTGTTGGTTTGTCCTTTGAGTGTGTATTGTTAATGACTATCATAAAATCATCTTGATAACCTCCAAAGGTCATGAGACTCTTATATACATAGCTGACTATTAACCTCTTCAAAGAGAAGAAAAAGTAAAAATGTTATATGCTTTTTACTTTCAAAAAAAGATGAGAAATGATTAATAACATACATCTCCATTAAAATAATGATGACTAATTAATTAATTATGGTACAATACAAAAAATTATTTTCTAAAATCAAATCTAGTATGATCCAAAATGGATAGTGTTACTAACTTTATTTAGGCACAATCTACCTTTACAATTAAAATGCATTTTGATTCTGAAACAAATAACTCATTAAAAAAATCAGAAAACACAAGAAAAAAATAAAAAGCACCTATACTCCAGCATCTAGTGGAAAACCACTGTTAATAATTTTTAATATGCCCTTTCAGATATGTCATATACATGTTAGGTTGAGCCATATGAAACTGATAATTTTTAGGGTTAAAATGGTCAAATATTGGCAAATCAATATGGTTTACTCTGATAGATGGAATTTGACACATAGAAACAGACAGTATCATTCACACTGTTTAGCATTCTGCTTCTTTTTTTAACTTAAAAACATATTGGGAAGATCTTTCCATGACAACAAATGTACTTGTATAACATCATTTTAAATGACTTTATACACAATTCTTTATTTAATCAATCTCCTACTGCAGTATATTTAAATAATTTTTTATTTGTTACTATCTTAAGCAATATTCCAATGAATATTTTTGGACATATTTTATAATGCAAATACCTAATTATTTCTTTGGTTATAAAACCAAACAAAAGGAATTGCTAGCTCAAAAAGTAAGGACAATTTTTGAGAATTTTTCAAAACTTCTCCAGGAAAGGTTATACCCATTCACTTTCCCAGCACCATAGTCCTGCTAACACTGGATATCATGATTCTTTTAAATCTCTGCAACCTGATGGGTGAAAAGTAGAATCTTACTGTCTTAAATTGCATCAATTTCATTACTAGTGAAATTAAAATTTTTAAATACATTTATTGAACATTTGTATTTTTTCTTTTGTAACCTGTCTTGACCCATTTGTCTATTGGTATGTCATAATTTCTTGATATTTTATAAGACATCTATGTATATTAAGAATATCAACCCTTTGTCATATATGCAACAAATATTTTTCCCAATGTGTTTTTAAAACAATTTTAAAAATCTAATTAAAAAATGTACAGCCTAATGGGGCCAGCCCGGTGGCGCACTGCTGCAGTGCGCCGCTTGGGAGCGCGGCAGCACTCCCGCCGAGGGTTCGGATCCCACATACAGACTGGTTCCCGCTCACTGGCTGAGCGAGGTGCGGGCGCAGCACCGAGGGTTGCGATCCCGTTGCCGGTCCCGGTCCGGTACGGGCGCGACACTGAGGGTTGCGATCCGTTGCCGGACACGAAAAAGACAAAAAAAAAAAAAATGTACAGCCTAAAAGTAAAGGAATCTGCATATCTAACTCTTAGCTTACAAGACTGAGCAAGCAATTCTGGCACTGAATGCCTCTGTATCTATTTCCCACCATTGCCTACTTCCTGGCCTGTATGGGATCTAGGAAACTAGTTTACTTAACTAAGGTAACTCAGTACTCAGTACCAGTATACAGTTTTTTGGTGACTTTTTTTTTTTTTTTTTTTTTTTTTTTTTTTTTTTTTTTT